GGACTGTAATTACAAAACAGAAATCACTAAATCACAAGGAAGTTAGAAATACTTCTGAACTGAGCCACCAACACACAAATGACTGGAAGTGACTAAGACAAAAATATGAGGCCAAACTAGACTGCATGACACCCCAAGATACAGCTAAGCTGCACTTCAAAGTCATCAGTATAATCTTCGTTACAAATAGATGTCAGGTAAGGACACCTTATCTAATTTTTCATTACCAACATTTTACATAGCAAATATCTAAAGAAATGATGAGTTATCATTCTTTTGTCTCACATATCCCAGGTCTCCTAATAACCCTGTAAGACAGTAAGAAGGGCCTCAGGGTGGAAATCAGCCTGACGTCAGAACAGGTCTTCCGTGGGAGTGAAGAGGGAGAGATGGGCAATGAATAAATCTGGAGAAAATATGGAAAGAAATAGGGGGAAAATAACTCCTGTTTGCAATGGTTAGAACAGAGTATTAAACTTAAAATTACCCAAATGTTTTCTTGCTGTTTTTAATCAACCAATGCAGAATTTTGCTTAAAAATGTACAATCACGTTGAAGAAATGAAATGGTGACTAGATTTCTGTAACCCAGACCACAAACATAACAAAACCAGATAAGACAGAACCCTACAAAACAATATTAAGTTTTACTCAAGTCCTTCAAAGCTCTATAATTGTTTAAAAAGTTGTAAACTAAACTCCCTTAATCTTACACTACAATACATCATCCAGGGGGAGATGGATGAACAGAAAGAAAAATGTATTACTGAGAATAAGACAAAGATAAAATCAAATACATTTTAACTATAAGAATTTGAAAATAGGATAAATGAAGTATGAAGTATCTGGTTTATAAACTCCTTCAGAAAAAAGAGAGTGAGACAGATTAAAGCACAAATTGATATAAAATATACCAGTAACTGCTACCTGCATCTCATGTAACTATTTTATATTATACTAGATAAGAAGTTATAGGTTCCTGTTCTAAATAAATGTTTAAGAATTTCGGGGCGGCACCTGTGGCTCAGCGAGTAGAGGGCGCCAGCCCCATATACCAAGGGTGGCGGGTTCCAACCCGGCTCTGGCCAAACTGCAACAAAAAATAGCCGGGCATTGTGGTGGGCACCTGTGGTCCCAGCTACTTGGGAGGCTGAGGCAAGAGAATCACTTAAGCCCAAGAGTTGGAGGTTGCTGTGATGCCACAGCACTCTACCCAGGGCAACAAAGTGAGACTCTGTCTCTTAAAAAAAAAAAAAAAAAATTCCCTAAATCTCCACTCCACTCACATAGTCTTTAAATAGTCTGCAAGATAGACAAAATTCTGCCAGTCACAGCTTCTATGTGAAGAAACAGAAGAAGAGAGTGGTTCCATCTGCCTAAAGGACCTGGTAGCATACCATCTACCACAAGAACTGAACGTAATAGAGCAGCTTTAAAGTAAAGACAGCTAGAAACTAGTCCTGAAGAATGTCTGAGCAAATGAAAACCAGTTAGGCCTATAAGTGACCTCAAGCTTGTTTGATTTCCAAACATACAAAACTTAACTCGAGCTAATTCTTGTAAATGCCTATATTAAATAAAAGCAGAAGCCATGAGAATTGGTCTAATTCAACCAATTAGAAACAGACAACAAACTCAAAATTAAAAGGGTATAACTAGGAACTTTCCAACAGGATAGAATAAAGCAACTATGTAACTGGAAACAATCAAATGTTTCTTTGCTTTACTTCTGTGCCTCTCCTACAAAGGTCTCTCTCTCTCTCTTTTTTTTTAAACTCTTTGGGATTCATTGAGGGTACAAAGAATTAGGGTACAATGTTGCATTTGTTAGGTAAAAAGTCTCTTCTTAAATTTTCTTGGTGGAGTCCCCAGGCCACTTCTGGTCTGAAAGTGCCCAATTTATGGATCATTGTTTGCTCAAATAAACTCTAAAATTTTAATGTACCTCAGTTTACCTTTTCAACAGCAGCCATTTGCAAAGAACAGTAAGAAGCTTCTAGTATAAAATTTTCCAAAACTATATTAATTGAACCAACTTAAAATTTCATTTTTGTTGATTACGCGTCCTTTAAAACTCACTTAACGACCACTTAACTGCAGGAAATGAAAGGCATGGGTAGGAAACGTACCTGAAACCATGATACTACCTTAACGAGCCTTTTAGAGTTTATGATGAAAATCCATGTAGGAACTGACTTTCTCACTGGCACACAAAAACTCACCAGGGTCCATCAACACATGCAGGAATAAACAAAATGTGTCCTGTTCGATGGAATGATATATATGGAATGACATGCATCAATTAAATATAAGATGGAGTACTACACATCCATAAAAAGTAATGCAGTGCTGCTAAGTGCTACACCACGTATAAACCTCTAAAACACTGTGCTAGGTGGAAGAAGTCAGACATGAAAGAACACACGTTGTATAGTTCCACTTTTATGAACCATCCAGAGTAAATAAATCCAGAAGGACAGAAAGGAGATCAGTGGTTGACAGGAGGTGGGAGGAGGAAGGAATGTGAAATAACTGCTAGCTGCTAGGTGGATAATGTAAGTCCCCTTTGGGGTAATAAAATGTTTTAGAACTAAACAGAGGTGACAGCTGCACAACACTGTGGATGAGCTAAACGCCACTAGATTGTACACTTTACAATGGTACATGCTGTGTGATACGAAATAAAGGAAGAACATGGAAAAGAAAAAAAACTCACCAAAGTGAAGGCAGAAAAATCACGACGAGAAGATTAAAAAATAAGATTGGAAATTGGGGAAAGGTAATATAATAGCTTCACCCAAATGGAACAGGGCAATGAAACAGAGAATGACAGAATAGTAATGAAGGCACCCTGTGGAGACTTACAGGTAGTGGAACACTTTAATTTCCTCCTCTGTAAGAAAGTCAGCTGACTGTATTTTAGGAGTTCCATTTAAAAAAAAAAAATCACAAAACCTTTTTAAAGTTTAAAGATCTTGGGAAATCACCTTGTTAGCATCCCCCATCAGATTAAGAAAATAAATACGGCATGATGGTAGTTTGGTCCGTGCTATTCACGAAGTAACTAAAAGCGGAACTATTGTTCAGAATCCAGATTATGTGATTCCCAAGAAGAGGGACGCTTCTGGACAAAACTCAAAACAATTTTTTGCTATTTACTAAGCTCTGAACTAGATAGACTTTCGTGAGCCATAAGACCAAAATCTTTTGCTTCGTGGCTCGTATATCTTTCATCTTTAAGAAATAGGTATAAAAATGACAAACAAAAAATAAATGAACACTCCCTGCCTTAGAAAAAACAAAAGCAGATTTGTGAGAGTCTAGGCTGTTTTATTCTTAATATCCATGATACTGGTACTTGGTAGGCACGCTAATATTTTAAAAATGATACAAATGCCTGAAAAATGAGACTAATCATATCATTTAAAACCTAAAACATATAGTGAAAAATGTAAGTCTTCTGATTCCCCACACGAAACATCACTTTTTCACCATTCAACAGTCTCTAAGTCCTTCAGCCCTTTTCCCAATTACTTTTTCCTTTGTAATATATCTTCATAAATTATGAAAGATTAACAATGCTTAAAATACCAATCCATATTAAAATTCTGTAATTGTGATGAAACATTCATTAAGTCTATTTTGAAAGTCACTTTAACCTAGTGATGTTCAGTCTTGTTTTGACTCCTTTTTGAAAGAGAAGCCCCCTACAATGGGGACTCTGGGAAATATGGCCCGTGTCCTTTCTAAAAAGTCCCACTGGTGATTCAGAGAGATACCCAGGTTGACAATCACTAGATTGACCTCTTCATTTCTTCCTATTAAGAAATGGTATTTAATGAGCCGTGAGAATACAAGACTTGGTGAAACAAAGCTTCTACCACGTGTATAAAATTGAAAATACTGTGACTAAATCAGTAAATGGCCAAAGAATTCAAGAGAATGGCAGCCTCTAAAAAAAAAAAAAAAAAAAAAATAGGTGCAGGTCAATGACAGCGCCCAAACCCAGTGACAGTTTGCGGAGTCTGCCAATTTCTTATTGAATGGCATTCGGTATTTTCAAAATTAAATGAAGGTCTCTTTATACTGGATAAGGCACCCTGTCTGAGTAACAGTAACGTTTCCAAAACGTTAGAAAATGTAACAATATACCACTAGTCCTGCAAGGTGGTCGCAGGTCCAAGGGATCTGGGGATCTGCTGTCAGCATCGACCTTTAACAGCTTTGGGAGTTTATACTTTCATCTGTAAAACTGCAAAGATAGATAAAGAGGATCTATTCACTGACCTGTCGTGAGAATTAAATGTGCCCATGAAAGCAGGTGGCACGGTGCCTGCTACATGCTAACCAATCTAATACGATTTAGTGTCATTGTGCTCTTATTTCTGACCAAAGGAAAAAGAAAAAAAAAGGTTCTATCAAATAGCAGAACAGATCTGTATTACAGGAAATCTTTTTTTCTAAGGCAGAAGGTGATGTAAACATCCTCTCCGCCCCCAAAACACCTAGAGAGCGCAATCTCAAATCGTCATACGTGGTACAGAACTGTGAGGATAGTAGTAACCACATAAAAAAGAATGACCACCGAACACCAAAGGGCTGTGTAGGCTGTAAAAAGAAACAGTATCTCCAGTTTAGGAGGCACTAAAACTTTACAAGTGAGTCAAGACGGCGCTCCAGAGAGTTCAAACGCAACCCCGGACTCAATCCCCAGCTCAGAGCTCTCAGCCTGCACTACGCAGGGCGCGGGCTGGGACACCGCTAGGAAGGCGCACTCCAGGTGGCAGCCAGGCCGGCCGCCCAGACCCAGC